GCCACCTGTCAGCTGCACTTCAGACTACTTTCTTGTCATTTCATGGGACCCTGGGGGACGAGGGGAAAAATAGAATCCCAAAACTTTTAATCATATTCAACATTGAAATTGATATCTTAATAAATATTTTATAATGCTCATAATGATGCCATGTGTGCGGATATTCTTATTGTCTAAACCCTTAATTGGACGGTTCATTAATTGGACGGTTCATTAATTGGACGGTTCATTAATTGGACGGTTCATTAATTAGACGGTTCATTTTCAACCGTTAGTAGACGGCAAATGTTTAACTTCAAGTTCTAAAGTTTAAGTTTGAGTCAATTTTTAAGGAAAGTTTATAAAAACTGGTGAAAACAATGAAGCATGTTTGTTAATAGAATAATTGTCTCTGCAATGTTCTTTGTGTAAAACAGGATGTCTCGATAAGGCTGCTTGTGGTATCAATTTCTGCAGAAAAACGACAGAATCTGTAGGCCTGGGAAGGGTTTTGGTACCTTGTCTCTTCTGGTTCCTGTTAAGGTGTTTGTAGTCTGAGTATTGTTTGACTAAACATGTATCAACACTAGGGGTGGGAGGGTATCGATGTGGCAATATATTGTGGTCCTGACTTCTGTAATCCGATTATCAATGCAGACAGCAGAATTAAAGGAAAAGAAGACAGGGAGCATGATGGCCTCAGGGTTAGTTCCATGTATAGAGGCTAAAGTTCTCCAAGCAGGCGGTCTGGGTTCTAGTCCTTCCTTTGGCTCCTCTCCCAGATGTCATTCCCCACTCTGTCTGAAAACTTCCTAATCAATCCACTGTCATATCAAATAAAGGTAAAACCCTAAAAATACATCTTTAAAACAGGAAGAAGACAGGGCAGCGGCTTTGTGGTTAGGCTTTTTTCGCCACATGTACGGAAGCTTTCAGCCGGTCGAGTATGAGTTCGACCGGTGGCTCTTTTGTATGTCATTCCACACTCTCTCTCTCTCTCTCTGCCCTTAATTCAGTTTCTATCCACTGTTCTGTCTCTCTAAAAATTAGAAGAAGACAGCGGGATAATGTCAGACAGCGATGAAAAGAAGTTTAGAGATGAGCTAACTACTTTCAAATCCAAGACGTTAGGCAGACAAAGCTATTCCATCACAATGAAGCGGAGACCATAGAAAAAGTTGACAAAGCACTCGAGTTTGCACAGAGTTTCACTAACCTGCAATGGGAGGACTTCACGGTCACACAGTCCTACATGACTAACACTGCACATTTTATTCACCAGAGTGGGAAAAGCACTCGTCATATAGAATGAGTTTTGAGGCTGTAGGGAGGAATGAAAGCTGCCTGAAAAAGATCCACTGTTCAATAGCAGAGAAGTGCAGAATCGGTGATATTACACCACTACTCACATCATTTGCAATGTGAAGAAAGGGGGAAACATGTTTTGATACTCACAACAAAAAAGTAATCTAAAATTACGGGATAAAATATTTCTTTCTGAGCTCATCAACTTATAGGTGTCAAGACAAGCACCCAAGATGTGCAAGTGGTTCTGCACATGAGCAGACTCAATCAAGACCGGTAAAGAACATCACTGACAGACTATTTTTTCAAATCATTGCTTTGGTTAGAAGGAAAACACCCCTTTTTAAAAAAACATATAACTTCAGTTCATTCATAATTTATTTTTATCCCTCGGTTTCGGCCGCAACCTTCCCGGTGTTACTGTCTAAGTGAGTGACATAATGCACACAAAATGATGATTTTGTCTTGGTCTTGACTCGGTCTCGATCCCTAAATATCTTGGGTCTTGTCTCGGTTTAGGAGCACTCTGGTCTCGGGGATGTCTTCGTCTGGTCTTGACAACAACACTGTAGCACTATTCGATATAACTCCTTTTGTAGAGAAAACGAGGCAAATATGAAAGTAGCTCTTTCAGGTACAGCCGTATACAGGTTGACATAAAAACAACGTTTTTATGTGTTTGAAAAAGTGTACGCATAAAATGTTTACAAGTTAAACAAGGCGGTTATGTCTGTCGAATTCTAAAATTCTTTAAAGTTATGTGTTCTTTTACACTCATATGTTTCCCAGCTCTTTAGTTCTGTAATTTAAATGTAAAGACAAAAACGTGTAAAAAAATGTCAACATAGTTTTTCTCAGATTCTGTGAAACTGACACTAAATTGCAGCAAATAAATAAATGAAATCGGCCTCTTTACCTTCATATGGGCAAATTATGTCCTTCAGCTAATAAGATATCTTGGTGTATCATTATATATTCTCCTGCAATACTGTGTATAAATGATCTGTGATATTATCATTATCACGGGCCAACATGTATCGCATATCTCCCCCCCCCAATCAACAGGCTTTAGTGAAGGAGGACAGTCCATGTAGTGGACACAAGGGCAGAAAATAAAGTACAAAATAAAGTAAATAACATCTCTTATCATTGTTTACGGTGTAATTTATGCAGGTGTCTATACACATTCTGTATTTGAAAAGTCTGAGGTTTACCTTGATACCTCTTTAGCATCACTGTCACTATGCAGATTTCTCACAACAAACTGCACTGGATATTTGGAAGCCTAAAAATAAAAGCATGCTGGACTGCAGCCTATGTTTGGGTGAGAAAGCGTTTCTCACTTTGAAAGAGACCATCAGGAGACGCAGTCATCACACTTTTTTTCAAGCCAACAAATAGTGATGTAGTCGTGCTTCAGGATCCCAATCTCCTGTGACTTCTGTTTTCTAGTAGCAGGTATAATATTGAGCATGCAATGCAAAGCACTGAGGCAGATGTTATACGACATGACAACTTCTGAACTCCTGAAATATAATGAAAAGCTAACGAGATGTCAGTCAAAGACGATCCAATCAGCACACCTAGTTTGCTACAATGACCTGTAAAGGCAGCTATGGGATGGGATGCAAAGGATGGATGGATGGATGGGTGCATGAGTGGATGGAGACTATACCTACACCAACAAACAGACAGAACTTGTCGGTGTTGGTGTGCCAAAGTGGGTACAGGCCTATAATTTACAATACACCGTCCAATTGCATGTAAGAGGGAAGATGTCAATTTCAGGCTTGAATATGAAGCTTTAACTATTAAAAAGAGTTTAATTAATGTGCCCATTTCCAAAGATGATAAACAATTGGCTGTTTGTAGATGTATACAAAACAAAGCCCTGTGGATCTACACATATTTATCTTATGCACTAAACATAAAAGGGAAAAAGGAAACAGTAATATCATGTAACCAATACAAGTTTTTCTGTCCAGTGTCCAGGTACAATTGCAAACGAGTGACCTTTTTTGACTTATTCCCATGAGGCCAGAAGTTGCTATGCCATTACACCTGGACCCACTATAAACAAAACGAATGCATCTCACAGCAGAAACACTACATCTAACAATGACATTAATGAGTATTAGTATCGAGATGCATCTGTATACTACACCACCTTCGAGAGGGCGATAAATCATGCAAAAATAATTGACCCTTTATTAATCCCGGGAGGGGAAAATCAATTTGACACTCTGTCTAATGAACATGAACACACACAAAGGCCGAAATACTCACACATGCACAAACAGGATCCCATGGACATGCATTAAAGGAGAGGTCTCAGAGTGAGGGGGGCTGCCCACAGCGAGCGCTCCAGAGCAGTTTTTTGGGGTTCAATGCCTTGCTCAGGGGCACCTCGGCAGTGCTCAAGGAAGTGGACTGGCACCTCTCCGGCTACCAGACCAACTTCCGGACTTGGTCCGTGCCGGGACCTGAACCGGGCGACCCGCCGATTCCCAACCCAAGTCCCTACAGACTGAGCTACCGCTTTCCCCCCGTATACAAAGCAGACTCGACAGAGAGCTCTCTGTGCTCGGGTTGGTGAGGCCACCTGTAAGTCTTGAAGTCTTATTGGTCGGGCGATAGTCTTATTAAACCCTCAGAGAGCCAATCTCTGTTGTTTTTTTTGTTTTTTTTATGTGTGTCCTGTATTTCTTCACAGCAAATATCATGACGGTTGTTTTCCTGCATGTTGCAATTGTTCAAGGGAAATGACGTCGATCACATTAAGCGGAATCTCTCTCTATGTGGGATAATGTAAAAGACTGAGCTCGAATACAAAAATACCCCAAAAACACAGAAATCAAACCTCGTTCTCACAGAGAAATTGGCAATAATATAGCGCTGACACATTTAAGCGGACAATTACCAAACTCACTTAAGACATAAGCAGGATTAATGAAGAACAGGCCCACCGAGACATGTTCATGTAAATCACTGCAGCATGTCTGATCTGCATGCACGCGTCCCTGTAGCACTTCATGGTGTAACCTGGAACTGTGCGGTCAAACAGATAGTTAGAGTAGGTATAACTATATATTCTTCATTTGATTTAAACAGGCAAAGCTAAAAAAAAAAAAAACAAGCAAATTAGGTCAGTGTAAAAAAGATAAAAAACCTGAACTGTGAAGACCTCTGACACTGCAGCACACACACACACAGACACACACAGACACACACACAGACACACACACACACAGGAGTCACTTTGACAGCTTAAGATCAACAAGTCTCACCTGACCTGAGGGCAGAAACAACATCCCTCCTTGCAGCCGTAACACTGCCGTCTGCACCTCCCTGTACTAAATGTAAAACATGTGCTGACGTTAACGTGATGCTCAACCAAGAAACCCCCTCCACAGCAGGCTACCGTTAGCATGCAAGCTAATAACTCTCTTGTTTATGTGCTTCGGGTTGCAGCTCAGTAAAAGGCGCAGCGTCCCACCGACCATGTATGAAAACGCGGCGGACACAAGTGCTTTGAACATTTAAGTTGAAGTAATTGCAATTCTCGCCGCCACTGTTTGTGTTTAAGGTCAGTTTAGCCTTCATGTTGTGCTAGCATGCTAGCTGCGAAATGAATGGGGGGGGGGGTTGGGCTAGCCTACAGCATCCTGCAGCCTCCACCATCACCAGGTTTTAATTCGTGCCGTAAGATAACTCACCTGGTTATAGTGCACCCGGAAAGGTTTGAGATAGTCGGACTCTGTGCACGGAACAACTTCAATGTTATTTATCTCTTCCATAGTTGACACTTTGGAGCTGGATTGGAGGCTCACCGATGGATGTCTGTCACCGCACACTCACTGACAGCGGAGGAATGTCTACGGAAGCCGGGAGAGGACATGTAACAGCTGAGAGGACGGTGAGGTTGATACCTGGATGATGCGTGAGGGTAGAAGGAGCAAAAAAAAAAAAAAAAAAAGGTGGAAAAACAGGTGTAATATTTTTGTCTGGACACTTATTTGTTGGTTTTAAATGGAATAAAGGCTCAGTTTACAAATCTAAAAACAGTTTTTTTTAAATTTATATAATAAGTTTTTTTTTTTTAAATATATATATATGTATATATTTAACAAATGTAGGAGAAAAAAAAACCTGTAGTTCAGCTGAATTACAAAAAAAAAACAAAAACAGAAATTTGTCATTTATATCAGAATTCTTTGGGAAAGGAGTCACTAGTCGCTCCTTGTAGTCCCTCGAGCTCAACGAAAACTCAGAAGTGACCTTGCCTTCTCAGTGGCCGGCCCCCGTCTGTGGAATCAACTGCCTCCCTCCATCAGACAAATCAACTCCTCAAATCCATTCAAATCAAAACTCACCTCTTTTCCCTGGCATTTAAAACAAGTTGAAACAGACCCCATATATTCAGCTTAGGTATACGTATGTATGCATGTGCAGGTATGAGTGCATGTGTTTGTGATATGTATGTATACTACATGTATATATGTATGTGCATATATATGTGTGTGTGTGTATTATGTGTATGTATATATATGTGTGTGTGTGTGTGTATTATGTGTATGTATGTGCATATGTATAGATTAATGTTTTTATTTTTATTTCTTGCTTTTATGCATCGCCTGTAAAGCACTTTGGTCAGGTGAAGCTGTTTTTAAATGTGCTATCCAAATAAACTTGATTTGATTTGATTTGATTTAGATACAAACTGGCTGCATACACATATTTTGCTTACTTTAATATTTACATTATTGCCTAATTACTTAATTAGCTCAAACCAAATGAGTCTCCACAAATTATTTTTTTAGACAAAAAAAAGTCAATGACAAGTCCACCCTTGTAAAAACAAAATGTTTAATTAGAAATCCTCTTTATTAACCGCAAATTTAACTGAAAGACATTACATGTTACAATGTAAATTTCAGGTGGACATTATCCATTATGACGTGCACAGTGGCTAACCTTTAAAGTACTTTTTAGAGAGTAGGAAGATCTTATGTGACATCAAACAATACCAAACTCGTCAGGTCCAGACTTATGCCCCCTACAGACTGCATGATTTTTGCAATTGTCTACACACTGAGCGACATGGATCTCATAATGTTGGGTATGACGTGCATGTACACTGTGGAGTGAGGTCTCTAGTGAATCATTGGCTAGCAAGACAACATGCATCGTCATTGGTGTTCATTAGCTTCGTCAGTGTGTGTCAACCTGATCGAGCTGAGGTTGCCAATGCGGCCAACATAAAGCGAGCTCTTGCCATAGTGGCGTTCATGTGCATAGAAAACAAAACTGTAACAAGTGGAGGAAAAGAAAAAATGTGGTAAGGGAAGAGAGGCCAACTTGGGTTGCCTGTGTTACAAAGAAAGCTTGAGGCGAAGTCATATTATTGTTTGCATACGCTTTCGACAGCTCTGGCGCCTGCGTGGTCACACATTCCAGATATAGCTTCTGTCTGTAAAGTTCAATGAACGGTTGCTCTATACCATCAACAAATCCAAAAACAAATCATATCTACCATTTACTTTTGATAGACATTATGCTTTTATGCTTTGTTTTAAGTGTTGGTGGTAAGGTGACCCTTTGGTGCCCTTGTATTGTCCAGTACAACTTCAAATTAGTTATATCATGATCTAAAGTCAAGCATCCTCACCGTGCTGAGTAATGAATAAGAAATGGGTGTGGAAGCTCTTTCTCACCGACTCTGCCTTGAAGGGTGAGGCTGCATGATGTCACCCCCCTCACATCAATAACAGCCTTATAATGGAAAACAATCTTTGCAGCTCCAATCTCGACGGGGCTGACTTCCTCCACCAAATGAGCCTCAGTCCACCGCCCACTACACAAGGACAGGACGTAACACTCTCCCAGAGCTGATTTACATCTAAATAAATACAGCCCTAGACGAAACAATGCGCTGACCCGATAGAGGAACCGGCGTCTCTCCTCTGAGTAAGTCCAATTTATATTGCCCCGATCGAAGCAAGCTGCAGGGCACGATAAGACCGAGGCCGCCTGCAGAGTGGAAGCATTGTACGGGGGAGTCACCGCGCTCTGGTTAGCTGCCATATTCCTACAAAACAATGGAACAAAATGGTGAATTAGTGCATCGCCTTTATAAAAAAAGAGTATTTGTCTCAATTCAGTTGTATTGGTTTGTGAAGGATGAATTATCAAAGTGAAAGTGATTTTGGATCTGCAAGCGCCTGTCCCTTGCAGCCGCTAACCTATCAGGGTTAGCTTGCACATAATTAACCAATCATAGCGCCTCTTTACATACTACCATCATGCAGTTCCTATTTAACTTGTCTGAGGAGCTCTTTCTCTTACATGCTCTCTCACCCTCTCCTCACCCTCGGTGACGCTAAGAGCACAGCAGCAGCATTTCTTCGACTGAAATGTTCATGTTGATACTGCCGCCTTCACGATATTGCTTTTAACCACGGCTGGTTTATTTGATCGGGGGTTTTGTGGTCAATCGGATCCAGACCTGCTGCAACAGTGTTTTCCCTGATTTTAAATAAAACATGGTAGGCCAGGGTTCCTCTTACAGAGGAGATAACATGATGCAGTTCCCCACATGTTAAGAGATGAGCGGCACTGTGTAGGTGCCACTAAATCAGTTATTTGGGACCCCCAGGTGTCATTGGTGGTCCCAGAGGATCTGATTCAGTTTATTTACACAGAAAATAACAGCATCATAGAATGTATTAATTTGGTCATGGGTTGAATGCTTTCTAAAATTCAGGGAAAAAACATCATCCAACACAAAAAGAACTTTAAAAACCCTCAGAGAAAATGACATGCTGTGTTTTTCCTTCTCCATTTTGAACTTTCCTTACACTGCTTCCTCTTCAGGGCCTCATCCGAGCATCACCTATAAAAAGGCCTCCCAAAATCTTATCAGCCCCTCAGCTGGCTCCTGAGGCACCCACAACGTGTTAATCCCATCCTTCCACCAACATGTGGGTGCAGGGTTCCTCGAAGTCACGACCAATTACCGCCTGCAGCCGGCTGATGCAGGCCAGACTCCAAAAGGCTTAACTCAACGTCGAACCTGGAGCCTCCTACCTTACCTTCCTGTCTGCTCTTTCCTCTACATTTTATAATTTACAGTCTCCTACAGTAGTAAATTTTACAAGCCTTACTTTCAATTTCTGCTTGTGTTTTTAATTAAATCATGTGGGTATATAAACAGTCCCTACACCCATCTGTTGGTTTATAGAGCGTACCCTAAAGTATCACAAAGCATGCCTTTAAATAGATAAGAATGACCAATATATTAATTAAATAATGAAGTTGTTACCTGATTGATTTCAGGGGTTGGGGGTATATAATAGGCCTTTGTTATTGGGCTTTTAAAACAATCTTACGGCCACCAAATTGAAGCTCAGTAGCCAACTGAATTATTTCTTGCTGTGGAAACTTTGGACTAAGCCCTATTTTAAAGGGAAAAAACTCCAGTGGTCTATCCATAGCATAGTTTATCAGCCAGGGTCAAGCAGGGATTTGGGTCAGCGGCTCTGGGAATGCACTTAGCCAAGGTGGCTGCAGTAGCTCTGTTAGCGGACTCAAGGTGTGGGTCAAGATGGCCGCTAGCCCCCCGTCCAACAGTCTGGACGTTCAGCCGCCAGTCATCTCATCCAGGAGTCGCTCCTATATCCCTCCATGTGGGCTTGGGTTTCAAAATAGCGCCTTGTGACGGAGTGGCGCTCGATAACACAGCTCAGAGTGTTTTGAGGTGTGTGAGGAGTTGATGGAGGATTCAGGGTGAACACAGTGAGGCATGAAGGTGACTTGAGCTATCATGTTCCACATAAACAGATCAGGAAGGACTTCAGTGTAACATGGAGTAACAAATAAAGATCATTAAAATGGATAGGGTCAAAGTTTCTATAAATTGATCATTGGAAATTCAGAATTGCAAAATTGGGACTGTGACTTGACACAGACTTAATGCTGCTCTATTTACTGTGAAGTCCGCTGGGGATGAATGGTATAGAAGTGATTATCGAACCTCTTGACGAAACAATAACAACAAAAACACAAAACAACTGGAAGAGCTTACATGGCCAGAAAATGGCATACACAAGCAGCAACTTCCTGTGTTGAAAAATGAAGCCAATGCGGAAGTGGAAGCAAAAATGCAGTTCCCCTTGTGTCCACTCGAGGCTGGCTGAAAAAGACCTGGATGTCCCATTAGCATGCAGATTAAACAGCTAATTTTAACATCCTGGTTTAAATGTTTTTGGTCTAAATAGCTTGTTGTGACACGCTGTAGGGGTGGTGGCATTATTTTATTATTCATTGGTTTTGATTATATAAAAGTTAAGAGTTGTGCATAATAAGGGGCGTGTCTTATTAAGGCCTCAGCGCCAGCTCTTTCCTGTTCGTCTGAGACAGAATTTCTAACATGGCAAACTCTAACATGAATTGCAGTGATTCAAAAAGTTGCTTCAGAAGCCCATGGGTGACATCACTGAGACTACGTCCATTTGTCTATACAGTGGTGAAGATGCAGAAATCTAAAAGACTTTAATCAACAGTTTGCCTGTAAAGACTCACGACCAGTCCAAACGTATCAGAAAAGACCTTTCCTTGCTGTACTAGATATTAACATTATCATGACCAAAGACCATGACTAAAAAATGCACCAATCTACTATCACATACATTATGATTATTACAATAATACATCCACTTTTTTTTGCATGTGGCTGCACTAAGCTGCACTAAAAATGGCTGCTGGTGAGTTTCAGTTGTGCTTCTCTTTCAGACACGGCCTTTAACATGTGACTCTGATCTAAGTTGGACTTTTTTCTCATGAAGGGAAACCCCCTCCTCCATACGCATCCTGCGCTCGTCTTAAGGCTCAATGCCATT